TGAAGACCAACTCCTGTAACAGGTCAGGTAATCATCTTTCTTTTTCAGGTACGCAAGTTCTCGCTAAGGAATCTCTTACGCGATCGACACCCAGATGGCATCTATAAGCCCATCCACCTATCCATCACCTCTCAGCATGGCATCTATAAGCCCATCATCCTATCCATCAATCTCCAAATGGCATCTATAAGCCCATTCCCACCATCACACTGCCAACATGTGAGCGCAAATTTTTGGGCACTCTAGTGTTCAATCATCTTCCACCTTCGGATTACGAAAGGCACGCCAGCCAATCTACATCCTCAGGTTTAAGAAGATTGAACAGGGGCAACTGTTGTACCCCAAAATTTGCCCTCCCATATTCTTCAAGATTTGCAAAGAGCATGCTTCAAAATCTCCCAAGGGTTGCACAGTCCAATGGCCTCCTAACAGTCAAAAATTAGGGTTTTGGTTCTGGCAGAGAAATTGAAGTTTTCAAGGGTCCAAACAAGTCCCACATGCCTATAAACATTGTCAAGCATCCTCATGCCAAGTTTCAAGACTCACAGCACAAAATTGCACAGTCAAATACCCTAATTGCTTCACAGTCAACTGCAGGGGCAAAATGGTCATTTGACAGTCAAAAGTCAAAAAAATTTGTCAACATCTTATTTTGAAGCCACAAACATCATTTGATCAATTCTTGATCATGATTCTCAAGGCATGGCTCAAAAAGTCTCAAGATGCAAAAGTTTCCATTTTTGGACAGTTGAAAAAGTCAACTGTAACTTGACCAAGGCATAACTTCCACATGGTTTATCAGAAAAATTCCATCCAAAGCTCATTTTGAAGGGAATGACATTTACTACAACTCCTATTCACACTTCAAGTCCAAGAAATGCTCTCACAAAAAGTTATCAATCTCAACATTATAGGTCATTTTCAAAAGTCAACAAAAAGGCACTTTAAGTCAAAGCCCATAACTTGATTTTGGTAAATCAAAATGACATGGTACCAAAGACATTGGTTAGAGGACTTCAAGACCTTTCCAAAATGTCCAAGAACATGATCAAAGCTTAAATATTGAGCAAGATATGCCTTGTGGAAGTTGGGAAATTTTTGGGAATTTTGAAAAGTCAACTTTGCTTCAAATGCCTCAAAATTGCTAATGGGCCTCAATTTCTTCCAAGAATCATCATCCAAAAGCTATGCACGACCCATTGACCCAAAGGGGAGTTATTTTCTTATTTTTTATTAATTATTTTAATTTTTAATGTTATTAATTCATTTAATTAAAATTAAATATGAAAAAAATACTCAAGCATGTATTTTAAATCTTTTTATGCAACTAATAGGTCTATCATAATCTCAAGATTTCGTGCATACTCAATATGGAAAGAATCTTCAATGATTGGCATGTTCTCCATGAAAAAAGATTGAAAAAAGATTACATGAAAATCGAATCTCAAAAACATCAATGCAAAGGTTTCTTGGCTTGGATTTTTACCCTAATTCAGTCACACATATAAACACAATGCAAACCTAATCAAAGAGACGAAGAAGCTGCGCTCAGGATCACAAACAAACTTTGCACTTTTCACTAAAAATTTCAAAACTGTAAACTGTATTGCAGGGTGTTTCAAGGCAAAAGAACGATCCCACAAGCTTGCTAAGGTTACCAGGGATCTATTCCAATCAAGACCACAGCCCCTAACCTCAAGAATCGGTAGAATGAAGCCGTCCTATTCTTGATATTTCTCATATTCGTGTTTTGATTTATACGTATCATCCATGCATTTTTCTTGTTGTTTTGCACTAACATGAGCATTCTAAAGCTGTTGGTATCTTCTAATTGAACTAACGTGCCCTGTACGAGAATCTGCCATGGAAATTTTCTAGGTTTTCATAAGCTTGAAATTGGGGACTTTTGCATATGGAAAAATTAGACATCAAGACTTATACCATTGAAATCGTGACGTTCCAACGAATCTAAAACACTCATCACGCTTTTTTATATTTGTTCAATTTCTATTCGCTATTTTTTTGTGTTTCAGATTGTGGGGGTTTAAAACCCCCGCTATCCATTCTTTATTTCTCAGGTAAAAACGAACAAACGAAGAAGAAGGCTGGTTGTCATCCTATGGTTGGCTGATTCAAATAACTGGCGCCTTTTTTTATCTGTTCCACTAACCTGCGTTTTCTCTCTCTTATTATTCATATCCTATTATATTGACAAACAAAGCAAATGGCACAATTGGCAAGGCGTTAGCATGGTAAACGTTGGGACCTGGGTTCGATTCCCAGGTCCCCCACTTTCTTCAATAATATTTTTTCCAATACACTTCCATGCAGCGTGTTATCCAGGTTCCACAATACACCTTCACATCAGTGCCTGCCACATGTCCCTGAAGCTCAATCTGAGGGCCATCACAAGCAGCCTACCATACGCCTTGGTCAACAGATCCACACGCATCCTTGAAAAGTCAAAAAGGGCCAAGAATCAGTGGGCCTAATTGCTTTCTACAAACCTCCAAAAGGGTCAACAAACCCCCTTGTTTGTATTTCTTCCTTTTTTTCTTTTCCTTTTTTTATTTTGTTTTAATTATTTTCTTTTAATTCTTTAAATTAATTTTAAATAATATAAAAACACACAAAAACCAGAAAGTCAAAAATAAAAATATATTTATTTATTATTTGATGTATTAATGTTTTTGTTGTAAATAAATTTGATAATTAATTTAGCTTTAAATTAGGGTTTTAACTTTAACTTCTTTTCTTAAATAAATTAAAGAACATAAAAATTAGGGTTTCTAGCTTTTTTATTCTTTTTTTTTTCAATAATTAAAATTTCTTCTTATTATTATTATTCTTAATTATTTTATAAATAACTTGTAATTAAATAATTATGTTAAAACTAGGTCAAACTTAAACATTTTTTTTAATAAATTAAAAATAGTTAGAATTATGGTTTTAATTCCATTTAATTTTCTCATCAAATTCCATAAATACAAAAACTCCAAAAAATAAGTTCTTGCTTTTATTTAATTTAATTAATTTACGATTTCGATTTAATTTCTTTAAAAGGGTCCAACGCCCTCGCATTCTCGATTTTATTTCTTTTCGCACATTTACTTTTATTTCCTTTTTTTAAATTTCATGTAATTTCCCCAAAGCCTTGTAATAGATTAATTAGGGTATTTACTTTCCGCATTTTTATTTATTCAAATCGGGTCTTGGTTTAATTTGGCGATGTAGACCCGCGCCTTTGTAATAGCGTAGGACTTTTAAATTCCGTACCTTTTAACTGTTAATAACCACATGAAAGAATGAATGCCAAAAAATAAAAACAAAGCGTAGATCACCAATGCATGACAAGATAAACATAATTAAAAATGACACACAATTCACACACCACCCCTAGGGTACGCCTCACTGTTGCCTTGCCCCTCGAAATGTGGTCGTCGAGTAGAGGACGTTTTAGTAAGTCCTCATGTCCATGAACATGGCATGAGGGTAGCTTCTAAGGTGTCTTCCTATTGCTCTGGTGACCACAATGTCCCGAACCCTCGAATTGACCCGAATACCTCCAACGGTGGTGCTACCTACCTCTCAATGGTGGGATGGCACTATCTTAAGGACATTTACACAGCCTAATTCCTTAGGGTAGGTAGACGACTCATGGATACTTGCTCTCTTCAAAAACAAACGAAAATCTTTTCACACCGACACTTTTCTAAAAGCTTTCAAAAAACAACTTTTCAAACACTCTTGAGGACTGATACAAGAGTCGAACTGAAATTTTAAAATGAAACTTTTTTAAACCCACAGTTGAAAAGCAAACAAACAATTTTGAAAACACAAATGAGCAAGTATCTAAGAGCCCATGGATAACCATGGATAGAAAGGGTGCTAACACCTTCCCTTTCTATAAATCTACCTCCCGAACCGAGAGCAATCTCAATAAGGAATTTTTCTGTACTTTTGTCCTTTCCATTTGGAGAAAATAAAAGACGGTGGCGACTCTTGCTTCCGCGACATTTCGCGAACCAGCGTTAAACAGTCAGTTCCAGATCCACCGATCACACTAAACATAGTCGATAATAGAAAATTCTAAACAAATTCTAAAAAAGAAAACCTAGGAAAATACTATTATATTCCCTAAAAAGAGAAATTAACAGTTTTTATTATCTTCATTATTTTTGTTAACAAAATTTCAATAAAAGAAGCATACTAGAAAAATCTAAGAAATCAATTACAAAATAGAGGGGGTGAGGGATCAAAGTCGTAATTAGAGGGGGTGAGGGATCAGAGCCAGATGGTGTATTGCAGCAATCAAAATGAGACACTAGGTCTAATTAAATGCAGTCCAAAATAGTTTTTTACTCTAAACATTAACCAGATGAACAAAAATTGCTTATGGGCCTGGCTAGGAGGTGTAAGCCCGGTCCATGAACCAATACAAATAGCAGCTTCCAATTTTTTTTAATCCTTTGTCAGAATTTATTTACTATGAAGCATTATTTTGACTATCATCAATTAAGTACAGAAAGAAAAAATAAAAAATAACCGCAATACAGTGACGTTTGGGATTTCCAATGTTAGGGTTCAAAATCGTGTATGTTCAATTTCAAGATATTCACAGAGCTTCTTCTCTCTTCTCAAAGAAAAAACCCCGCCGATCTCTTGTTCGCGTCGGTGCGACTCCGTTTCATTGCAAATCATTCATTTGTCCTCCGATTTCGTTTGCCATTCTTATCGATTTCTAACACCGTTGCAAACAAAATCAACGTCTCACACCAGCATAAAACACCTCGCCTCAGCCTCATCTTCTTTGTCTTCCCCTTGAATCAACATCGAATCAGTATAATGGCTTAAAATGAAGCTCCAATCAGAACCATAACCAAGGGATTTTTCGATATAAAGACAACAATCGAGAGTTTGAGGCAGAAGCAAACACAAAAAAAATTCTAACTAGCAAATACTAGTAAAAGCGAGCATCAATTAAGAGTTCAGAGAGCCTATCAAGCGGAGTCCACCCGATGCGTATTGTTGTTGCTGATTGCAGAATAAAGATTGTTTGAAATTGCGATGCTTTGTTGATGCAGTGATGTTTTGGTAATAGAGGAAGGTGAAGATTCGATGATGAAGCGTGAAGGTTGAAACAACCGATAAAGATTGATGGTGCATTGAAGATTCGTTGAAGATGAAGATCGAAACGTTGGATGAAGATTGCAGAGGAAACGCAGAGAAATGTGGAGAGGAGTTTCAAGGTGCAAGATTGATGATGATTCTTCTTCAGCGATGAAGAAACTGCGATGATGAAGATGATTTGTTGAAGAATGGAGAGTGATTGCAGAGAGATAGTTCTCAGGTGAGTGTTGAAGTTTTCTGTTATTCTTGTTGTAAATGAATCGCGAAAACTGAATCCCCTCCCCTGAATTCTGTTTTGATTTATGTCATATAGTTTATTGAATGAAGAAGTTAGTTGAGAACAGAGTGACTCTAGGCCGTAGATTAAAGGGACTCAGTTGGTTCATCGATGGTGAGATGAGAGTTGGTTATGTGGGTTGTTATGACAGTTATGGAATCTGTTATTTTTCTGTTACAAGCTTTTGAACTGAAATTTTTTATATGACTGTTCGTTAGTTTTGGGCTAACAATGAAGTCCCGACTTTTGTAAAAAAATGTTTTTACAAAATGCTAATGGTTTTCTGGTTTGGGTATGGTTGCAGGACCTGTTTTGTGATGTCATTTTTACCGGTTGATGCTATTACATGGGTAACGCTAGAACCCCAGGTTTTTGAAGCTGTAACCTTGGAATTTTTTTTTTCAAATTCAGAGGCAACATCCCTCTCCTATAAAGATAGAGCTGAACAACACCCCCATAATTTTATTATGGGATCCATGAGCAATTCGACTCAGGCTTGTAGTGTCAAGTTTGAGGATACAGCTTTTAGCTTTTGTAGCTGCAAGTGTCTCGTTCCTGTGATGAGATCCTGAACTTTCATATGGTAACTTGGAGGGCATGTAGAGGGCATAACATGACAAAAATTTCCATATCCCATCGACATCCAGGAGTCGACTTGGCACAAGTATCATGAAAGCTCTTGCAATAATTTTTCTCATAACAACCAAGTGCAGCTCCTTTAAGTCTACAAAACTGCATTTGCTTCGCCAACTTCTACTTATCGCAACTTCGAAATTTATTGCATTATCATCTTTAAAATATACATTTGGGGCCCATTCTGTGCAATTCTTGTGACAATGTATGACTTTGGATCCTCCTTCATAATCAACAATGACAGGCTTGCCATAAAAATAGTGCATAATAGTGTCAGAAGCCTTTGATTCTTCTGATGAGAGATAGAGAGCACACTCATACTTTTTGGCATGACTCACACCTTTCTTTAAAGTTGGTTGATCTGTCAAATGACATTGTTTCTCTTCCAAAGAATCATTCAGTGTCCGGACATCAGTAACTTTCTGAATACTTTCATTTGGCTTAATTTCTTTATCATCTTTAGTCCTAGAGATAAGTTCAGGGGAAGGCTTTGATTTTTTTAGCACTCTTCCTTTATGTACTGCAAGGAGTAAATTTTATGGACAAACCGTTTATTTTCTTTTTCTAGTCTTGGCAGTGTTTCTATTATTATCCATTTGTGGACTTAAACTGGATGAAGCCAAACTAGCAAGCTCTTTGCACGGGTTTTGCATTGACATTTGAGAAGGTATGCTACAACTTTAGAGCTATTTTAATAAGTTGATTTCAGATGAAGTATGACATGGAGTTTGAACATGTTTATTGACAAATTTTGGATAAGCTTGCGAAAGTTTTGCAAGACGTGAAATCTGATTGGATGATGGAGATAGAGTTTAGGCTTAGAATTTATGAATTTGATTTTCATGTAATCCAATTTCTGGTCTTGTAATGTGCTCTTCAAATTTCCTTTGAATTGTATGAATTATGAATGCAAAACCCTCATAATTATTGGAACTTGAATCCTTGTATTTTGTATCATAAACTTGAATGACACTTAAAGTTTTAGATCTTTACATAGATGTTAAAATACCTTGATTGCCTCTTGAATCAGAGGGACTTCGCTTGCAAAAATATGAGCTTTCTTCCTTTTTTAAAATGAAGAATTTTCTTGCCTTTCTTAGCTTGAATTCAGAATAATTCACCTAAATGAATCGGGAGCTTGAATCATGCTTTTTAAGTTGCTTGGAAATGGCATGCTTGAATGGATACTTCCTCATAATTAAACCAAATAAATTTGCAAGCAACGATTGGTTGAGTTGACAACATGACCTTGTCCTCAAAGAAATCACAAACTTATCCTTTTGTGCTATATTTGGTTAATGAACCTCAATCCTCACAAACTTATCCTTTTGTGCTATATTTGGTTAATGAACCTCAATCCTCAATTGAAACCCGAATTCAAGAAGCAACACAAATCTCATTGGAAAGTTTAGGTGAGATCTTAATTTATAGCTTAAAAAATAATAAGCATCTTGATTGATGAATTCTTCAACCAATCCTTAACAATCTGACAAGTAACACCACAAGAAAGAAGTTCTTGATTAAATTCTCTAAACTTCTTAAAAGTAATGTCTTGTGGAGAAAGCCATTAGGAGAAACCATAAATGATGATGATGAAGCCGTACTGAGAAAATAATGATGATCCTTGTAGTATTTAGGAGAAAACCTTGCACAATGAACCATGGTTTAATAACCCATACCCATGCTTAGGCACATCATAGGATAACCCTAATTATTTGGCTCTGAGTGCACATTGATTAATACAGCTTGAGATGGTTAGAAGAATAAAACTCTAACTCAAGAACACCCTCAATAAAGTCAATGATGAAATCTTAAGCACACAAGTTAAACCCTAGTGCACTGGTTCGTTGAGAAATTTTGATGAAGACAACCTTGTAGCTTAATGAATCTTGCCGAGGAAGATATCCATGAGGCTTGTGATCCAAAACCCTAATTTCATACCAAGAGATGAATGAATCAGTTGATCAACTTTGAGTATGGTAGCGACCTTAACTCATAGAGAAAAACCATAATGCCAAGAGCCATTCGATCCCGTAACCATGGAATCGATGATATTGCATGAGATGTATAGAGTGTGATGAGGGATCTTGGGGGCAAAATTGAGGTATAACATGTTTGACTTGGCGCGCATAAGTGCATCCCATCCGAGGGCTAAACTGGGGAATTCGCAGAGCTAAATAGAGGAATTCGCATAGCTAAACTGGGGCATTGGAAAACCTAAACCAGGGCATTCGCAGGTGTCCATATCCATCTTTTTATCCCCAAGATATTTAAGAGGTAATTCCCTTGTGTGGCGTAAACTTGGGGCATGTATTCAAAGAGATCCACATGGTGTTCAGTATCTGTTCCTCGGTATATTCAGTCCTATTATCCTCTCAATGGTTCAGGATGTAGGGAAGTCGGGCCAAATTATCTCTTCTCCAACAGTATAATTCAGAATTCAGAGGCGTACTTGAAAACTCGTTTCGTCATCAATTCAATCTTCAGCGGAGTCATCAATAATCTTCGGTATCATGAGCTCCCCAGTGAAAATTCTTATAAGTATCCCCAATGATCCTTGGTACCGCAGGTTTCCAGCGCCTATATGTATTGACATCCCCGGTGATGAGCAACAGTTCCCAACGAGCCTTCGCTTATCCCCATGAAGTCTATTTCTTTGCATTGCATATAGTTATCACTGCATAACATTACATCTTCAAAAGCGCGTAGCTGATCCATCATAATGGATCTTTGTGTCAAAAGAAATTCAAACATGCATACAAAGCATAAGCCAGATCGGGTACCTTACACGAAAGAATTGAATCATTCAAAGACATCAATACATCCCCACAAGAGGATATCGCTCCCAAACCTTCAGCTGATGTCCTTCATTACATCATGATATCCAGCTAGCGGTGTCAGTACATTGTACTTCCAAACATTCGTTCGTGTTAGTTTTCTAAACACTCGTCCATGTCAGTTTTCTAAACACACGTCAGTGTCAATTTTCCAAACACTCTATTTTCCCTCTAGATACCAATAAAATAAGTACAATTAACTGTCCCTTGTACCTTCACTTGTCATGTCGTAACCAATGTTTTTGTCGTAGAATTCTGAGGCCGCCCATAGGCCTAGTTCTCCCTATGGGTATCTTTGTAGAATCATGAGGCCGCACATAGGCCTAGTTCTCTCACAGATCGCCTTTATGTCTTATCTTAGAACTCTGAAGTCGCCCATAGGCCTAGTTCTCTAGTAGATGAGGTTTCATCTTAGAACCCTGAGGTCGCCCATAGGCCTAGTTCTCCCTATAGATATTGTTTTAGAATTCTTAGGTCTCCCTTAGGCCTAGTTCTTCAGCAGGTCGCCCATAGGTATCTTCGTAGAATCCTGAGGTCGCCCATAGGCCTAATTTTACGACAGATCGCCCTTATGTCTCATCTTAGAACCCTGAGCTCGCCCATAGACCTACTTCTCCAGTATATGAGCTCTCATCTTAGAACCTTGAGGTCGCCCGTAGACCTAGTTCTCCCTATGGATCTTGTTTTAGAATTCTGAGGTCGCCCTTAGGCCTAGTTCGTCAGCAGATCGCCCATAGGTATCTTTGTAGAATCCTGAGGTCATCCATAGGCCTAGTTCTCCGACAGATCACCCTTATGTCTCATCTTAGAACCCCAAGGTCGCCCATAGGCCTAGTTCTCTAGTAGATAAGATTTTATCTTAGAACCCTGAGGTTTCCCGTAGGCCTAGTTCTCCCTATAGATCTTGTTTTAGAATTCAGAGGTCGCCCATAGGCCTAGTTCTCTGACAGATCGCCCTTATGTCTCATCTTAGAACTCTGAGGTCGCCCATAGGCCTAGTTCTCCAGTAGATGAGGTTTCATCTTAGAACCCTGAGGTCACCGGTAGGCCTAGTTCTCCCTATAGGTCTTGTTTTAGAATTCTGAGGTCGCCCTTAGGCCTAGCTCTTCAGCAGATCTCCCATAGGTATCTTTGTAGAATCCTGAGGTCACCCATAGGCCTAGTTCTTGGACAAATATCCCTTATGTCTCATCTTAGAAACCTAAGATCGCCCATAGGCCTAGTTCTCTAGTAGATGAGGTTTCATCTTAGAACCGTGAGGTCGCTCGTAGGCCTAGTTCTCCCTATAGATCTTGTTTTAGAATTCCGAGGTTGCCCTTAGGCCTAGTTCTTCAGCAGATCGCCCACATGTATCTTCGTAGAATCCTGAGGTCGCCCATAGGCCTAGTTCTCTGATAGATCTCCCGTAGGTCTCACCTTAAGATTTTAGGTCGTCAGTAGATCTAACTTTCCTCTTGTAGATCGTCCATAGGTCTCCCCTAGCAGATCACCCATAGGTCTTGATGTTGGATCGTAGGTAGTCTGTAGATCTTATCCATCGTCTTTTCGTACCAATATTTGTCTTATATTGGAATTGTTTCCATGTTACGAGTTTACCTTTCCTTGTATTGGCACCACAAGCATATTACAAGTCCAATCTTTTATCTTGTATAGGCATTGTTGCCACGTTACGAGTCCGCCTTTCCTTGTATTGGCATTGTTGCCACGTTAGAGTCTACCTTTCCTTGTATTGGCGTCACCGCTACGTTACAAGTCATTAACTTTCCTTGTATTGGCATCACCGTCATGTTACAAGTCATTTCCTTTCCTTGTATTAGTGTTGTTGCTATGTTACAAGTCATCCTTTCTCTTGTATTAGTCTTTGTTGCTACATTGTAAGTCCAATATCCATCTTGTATTAGCATCGTCGCTACATTATAATTTACCCTTTAAACCCTTCTCACCAGAAAATATAAAAAATTCTTTCCCCAGCAGATATCAAAAAAATAAATAACACTCACACTTTCTCTCAGAATAAATTTTTGGCATTGATATCTAATCATCTTCCACCTTGAATGCTTGAAAGGCCTGTGCCAATCACACACTCAGGTTTAAGGCGATTAAATATGGGCAGTTGTCATACCCCAAATTTGTCTTACCCTTTCACCTTTATCTAGCTTATGCATTTTTCACTTTTCATTTCATCTGCATACCTTCTATTAGGTCATTTAACAACATCATGCATTCATTAACCACAAGGCTTGGCATTTGGGATCAAAGGTCGAGAAGAATAAGGTTTCACTTGTGCATTAGGATTTCTCTGTCCTTTGCAGATTTGTCTAAACTTAAAGTGCAAGGATAATGAATTAGGGTTTATCCATCATGCTCAAGGTTATCAGCGAATCTCCAAAGCTTTGGCTATACATCCTATATGGACTTCTTCTCAACACTTTGGTTTCATTCATTACATGATATTTCTACAAGGTGAAGGTTCTCCTACAATGTTTCATCCAAGTGGCCATGAGCTAAGGCATTAAAGTTATTTTGGTGTTTTCATCACCATTTGGATTTGGGTTTATTTCCTTAATCAAGTGTCAATCAAGAGGTTTCCTTACGGGGTTGTGTTCATCAGTGAATCTCAATAGACCTCAATCATTATTTGAGGTGAAAGTTATTAAATAATATCTATGGAAATTTAGAAGATGTTTTGAAGAAGGCTTAACTTAAACTCACAAAAATCATTACATGTTCATTACAATTTTACTCTTTTACACAGTGCCAGCTCATCTAACAGATTCTAACTAACTTTCCCAACCCCATAAGAGATGCAAATCCTCACCATCAATTGCATAACAAAATTTACGGATCAAAGATTGAGATTCTCTAATCTCTAAAAAACTTTCACAACACATATAACAAAACTCTCACCAGAATGATGGACTCTCCATTTTTCTTCTGGAAGAATCACTATACACCTTAAATCTTCTCTTCACTCTCTCTAAAAAATTATCTCTCAACTTTCTCTGCTTCATCTTCGATCCCGATCACCATAACAACACTTCACCTTCACTCTTCACTTCTCTGCACATAGCATCAACAACACTGAATCGTTCGTTCATCCTCAACCATCATCTTCCTTCAATCATCAACACCAAATCATCGTAGCACATATATCATTCTCGATCTCGCATCACAGAACTTCACTGCAATCCTCCATGACTCATCATTTCCATTTCATCAAGAGCAAGCAACATCATCACCTCAAGAACGACAACAACACCACAATTCAGAACCAGAACGCAAGAAGAATAACAGAAACACATAAAAGAAAAGAAAATTCGGTGCATAGAATCACAAA